ACAACGCTGCCGCAAAAAATCATACATTTCGAGCTTACAAAAAATTACCTGTAGTTTCACCGTCAGGACTGTCTCGAAATAAGTTCTCCAAACTTTCTGCACACAGCAACTCCTTGTTTCCGGCTCTAATATAAATACACGTCAGTAAAAGGCAAGATGTACGCATAAGAGAAATACCCGTTAACTTCAGCAGAACGCGTTTCAGAGAGGTTAGCCAAAGACTTCGTCGATAATTCAGATAGATCCTATAAGAAAACAAATAAGCACGAAGTGTAACGATCGCAATCTACTGTCAAAATGCGACAACCAAACCTTCAGAATCACGAATTCGTAGTTCTGCACTGTGCTGAATATGTCGGCCATCGAATTGTGAGCGTCGGACGTTTTTTCCCAAAACCGCAAGAAACCATTTTGATAGCAAGTTAATATCTAAACGGATCGACACTGTTTTTCAATCAATTAACGACACATGTACTAGTACACACATAAAACAATAAAACAACGGAGACGGTGTATTGCATGTTTAAAGTGACAGATAATTACAGCTGATGAAACTGACAGCAAAAGCATTAAACCAGTACAAACTTCTGCGTCTACCAACCACGTTTACTCAAAGTTTTTCGTTATGAGGGTAAACATAAACTGTACCTCAAAAGGCAATTAAAACACTAATTTCAACTGTAGAACGACCATGTTTCGTGTCGAATGAATGTCACATTTCGCTCTGCTGAAACGAAAAGACATCTGGCTGGTCGAAATAACGTCACTGTACAATTAGCATTACCGCCAAATGTACGGGACAAATACAATTTAACTATTTATGTTAACAAGTACACTTACTAAGAACTTAGAGTACAGCAATTCAGCAGAATTTCGAGAGAGAAAAAACGTAATCGTGCGAATACAATGGCGTACTGATAATATTTTTGCCACAACACGCTGGAGCCTACTTTAAAATACAAAACCTTATACTTGATGTAATAAATCATACTTGCGGCAGCATTTCAACATAATCAGCTAACGCAACGTCCGGCACTGTGTTTTGCTCCCCAGATGCAGGAAAAGGGATATAGCTGTTTCGAAATCGGAAACGAAACTTGGTCAAACAGTGTTCTAGACAATTTCTTCAAAGAAGCGATGTCGCATCAGTTTCAAATGCTTTCTAATCCTGCTTGGTGGAATTACGTTTCTTTTTCTCCATAAGACCGAATCACGTAAGGTTACAAGGAGCGCGATGTAGCATCTGACTGGAAGTGACGGCCTGAAAGAGAAGCGGGAGTCTGCACCGGTAAGCTGATTTAGCGACGCTTCCGGCCAATCGCCAAAGATATCTTTCCACGACTCCACTTCGGTAAATCCGCGGTAATAAATGAAGATTTGGAAGACACTGGTAGTACTTCAGGAGTATGGGTACTCCAAATGAAAAGCCAAGCAATTGCTCGTCAAAAATGTTTAGAGAAAAAAGAAAATCAGAAAAACAAGTGCAGGCTACTGGAAATTTCCCTACTACTCGGTAAATCACAAGATAAGGACTCCAATACGTCTTCAAAGCATTCGTAGTAAGCCATAGTACAGAAAAACCATCGGCTGACACATTTCTGACGTCTACATCATGGAAACGAAAAAAAAATCAAGGCTGAAGTCACTGAAATATGTGAGATCTGAACATCTATTGAACTAGTTGCGCAATGGAACAATGGTGATCAGGATTTTATCACGAACACCTATGAGAACCGACGTCAGACAGGCGGTGTTCGGTTGTTCATAATCAAATGGAAGTTTGTACAAATTGCAATGAAATTAAATAATACATAACCTCATATTAGGATTCTGGTTCTACAGTTGTACAAAAGAACAGCAAAAAATAATCCAAGTTTAAAGTCCAATCCAAAAAAAAACTGAAAATGAAGAATTTGAGCAATTCTACAATGAACTAAAATATGCAGTGGAGAAGGGGACTATTTACGCCATTGTCCCAGAAAACTTCAGGACAATGGTTCACAACAAAACGAACAAACAACAAGGAGGTATTTATCAGCAAATACTGAAAATGCGAAAGGAGCAAACGTAAAGATCGCTCCGCAACCATCGTTGAAAGCAACAAGCTCTACGACATGAATGCAATTTTGTAGGAAGCTCGAAGAGACGGTGAATATAATAAAGCCCAAGTGGAAAATCTCTGAATCAACTCGAATATGTACTGACGGATGATAAACGAATAATATCTAACGTATCCGTCGTAGGCGAGAACATCGTCTACACAAGGTCAAACCACGGGCTCTAGGTTCATAAGCTACAATCGATGTCGCAAACAACAACGGGCAGCAGAAAATTCACAAATCAACAATTTGTGGCAAACGACGGAGGCTTTCGCTGAATAACTGCTATTAATGAACCTTAAAATAAAAATAAGCGAGCTCATTGATGTAGATTATGAACATTTTGTCGGTGTCATCGAGACTCTCATTCGGCTGGCAAAAAAGACGAGAAACCAAAGCTTCAACACCTTACATTTGCACCGTTTCATGCAATACATCAGTTAGAACAACAGAAAGTACGCAGCACTGTTAAAACTTTAAGCTTAAAAATAAAAGGAGCTAAAATGTTTCACTATGCGAGAAATTTAGTTACATCGAAAGGCAGAAAAAATTGATTCATATGTCATGTGTAACAGGCATTATTATGAATGACTGAACGAACCAATGAATGAACCGTCATAGAAAATATGCGAAAAGCGAATGAATAAATGAATTGCATTATGCATTGGCGGGATTTTACGTTACGGCGACGTGAAACTTCGGTGAAGGGGCGTGACACTGAAATGAACTTTCGGTACCTGACCTGAATATCCGAGTTACTTGTAATGCATCTAAATGAATTTATCCCCGAATGAGTGAATAAATAAATGAATGAAAAAATGAATTAATGAATGAACGAAACTATGATTAAATAAACGAACTAACTAAGAATCAACGAAAGAAAACCAAACAAGGAATTATTAAATGAATGAATAAAAAGAACGAATAAGGTAATGAGCAAGTGAATATATTTCTGAGTCTTTATGCATGAAAAAATTAATGAAGCAATAAAGCAACATAATCATGTTTTCGGATCCGATGATCAGCGACGCGGTAATAACCACGCTCCAGTGGTTAACTATCGATTCAAAAGGCGTGGCGATGTTCAATCGTCCATC